TCTCGAAATTGTCTGTCAATATAGTGCTGCAACTGTTTTTGAATTATCTTCAGTCAGATTTTACTTGTGTGCAATATTAATGATATTGTTTGATAATTTCCACACTCTGTGGGATCACCTTTCTTTAGAATGGGTACAAATATGGATCTCTTCCAGTCAGTTGGCCAGTTAGCTGTCTTCCAAATCTCTTTGCATAGCTGAATGAGTGTCTCTAGCATGGCATCCGTTTGTTGAAACATCTCAATGAGTATTCCATAAATTCCTGGAGCCTTGTTCTTCACCACTTCCCTCAGTGCAGTTTCAACTTCTTCCTTCAATATCATTGGTTCTTGATCATATGCTGCCTCCTGAAATGGATAAACATCGACCAATTCTTTTTGGTACAGTGACTCTGTGTATTCCTTCCATCTTTTTTGATGTTTCCTGCATCATTCAATATTTTGCCCATAAATCTTTTAATATTGCAACTCAAGTCTTTAATTTTTTCTTCAGTTCTTTCAACTTGAGAAATGTTGAGCATGTGCTTCCCTTTTGGTTTTCTAACTCCAGATCTTTGCACATTTCATTTTAATAATTGGCTTTGTCTTCTTGAGCTGCTCTTTGAAATCTTCTGTTCAGCTCTTTTATCTTCTCATTTCTTCCATTTGCTTTAGCTACTCTTTGCTCAAGGGCAAGTTTCAGAGTCTCTTCTGACATCTATTTTGGTCTGTTCTTCCTTTTCTGTCTTTTTAATGACCTTTGGCTTTCTACATGAATGATGTTCTTGATGTCATCTCACAATTCCTCTGATTTTTGGTCATTGGTGTTCATTGCATCAAATCTATTCTTTATTTGTCTCTAAATTCAGGAGGGATGTAATTAAGGTTATATTTTGGCTCTCGTGGGTTTGTTTTAATTATCTTCAGCTTCAACTTGAACTTGAATGTGAGCAGTTGATGGTCTGTTTCACAATCAGCTCCTGGCCTTGTTTTGGCTGAAGATATTGAGCTTTTCCATAGCCTCTTGTCACAGATGTAGCCAGTCTGATTCCTGTGTACTCCATCTGCCAAAGTCCACATGTATAGCTGTTGTTTGTGTTGTTGAAAAAAGGTATTTACAATGAATAAGTCATTGGTCTTGCAAAATTCTACCATGCAATCTCCAGCGTTATTTCTACCACCAAGGCCAAATTTCCCAACTACCAGTGATTCTTCTTTGTTTCCAACTTTTGCATTTCAATCACCAATAATAATCAGCACATCTTGATTGTATGTTCAGTCAATTTCAGACTGCAGAAGTTGGTAAAAATCTTCAATTTCCTGATCTTTGTCTTTCCAAGCCTTTCCAAAGTGGCCCCAACAATTCCAAGCATCATAGCTAGACAAAGAAGAGAGACCATCTTTTCCTAGGGCTGATTATTAAAAGTGAGGAAACTTTTCCAAAAGTCTCCTTGTTGACATCCCTTCATGTCTCATGTGGCCTCTCCAGTTGGCCTGGGCATCCTCACTCTGTGGTGCCTGGGTTGTCAGGGCAAGCATTCTAAGAGTGAGAGTGAGGACAGAAATCCTATCCCCTCTTATGACCTCACCCTAACACCATCACTTCCACCACATTCTGTTTGTCAAGGTCGTCATAAAGTCCCACCCAGCTTCCAGGAGAGTGGCAAGGCTCTGGCGGAACACATGAGAACTAGACAATTAGTGGCCACTTTTGGGAAATAAAATCTACTGCACCAGGAGATCCAGTCCGCCTTTGCATAGCCATCACCCCACACTGCTCACTTCACTTCCAAATCCTGGAGAGGTACACTTGCCTCTCAGGATATAGATCATCTGCAGAACCCTACTGCAAGGGAGTCTGAGAATGTTGTTTCTAGCTTTCCAGCCTCCATGATATAGGAGGCAAGCTAGCAGGCATTGGAATGGGCGATAAATGAGCTAGCTTATGGTGTCTGCCACCGCTAAGAAAGAAGAGAGAGGGATATATGACAGGGAGGTGGCCAACAGGGTCTGCTGTAGATACTTACCTTCACTATTTTCTACTGGTTAACTTTTTCCTATAGTATCCAGTAGATATTTATTGAGCATCTCCCATGTTCTGTGCAAGCTAGACTTAGAACAAGACAAGGATTTTAGAATCTATGTATCATAGTCTTAGAGAAATATTTAATTTACCTAAGGCACTTGACTGCTAACCAGAAGGCTGGCAGTTCAAACCCACCAGCCACTCCTCGGAAGGAAGGTTGAGCAATCTACTTCCGGAGTGATACCGCCTCAGAAACCCAAGGAGGGGTCGCTATAAGTCGGGTTTGACTCAACAGCACATAACAGTAACAACATTTACAACTGTGTTGAAGGTTTTAAAAAAGGTTTAAGGCTTTTTTTTTTCTTTTTAAAGGAAACATATTTTAACTAAGGGTAATGGTTACACTACTTGACTAATGTACCTGATAAGGAGTTCTGGTGGCATAGTGGGTAGGGCATATGGCTGCTAACCAGAAAGTCAACTGTTCAAACCCACCAGCTGCTCTCTGGAAGGAAGATGGGGCACTCTACTTTGATAAAGATTTACAGCCTCAGAAACCCAATGGAAGTTGCTGAGTTGGAATCAACTCAATAACAATGAGTTTGTTTTTTGGTAATGTAACTGATATCACTTAGCTGTACACCAGAAACAAAGGGCAAAGTGGCAGATATAATGTCATGTATAATTTTACATGAACAATACCCACTGCTGTTGAGTCAGATCTGACTCATAGCGACCCCTTTCTTCCGAGGAGTGGCTGGTGGGTTTGAACCATGAGCCTTCTGGTTAGCAGTCAAATGCCTTAGGCACTACGCCACCAGAGCTCCTACATGAACAATAGCAGTCAAAAAGAAAAAAAAAAAAAAAGGCTGCAGCTGTTGATACTACTTCTTGTTGCTGTGTACTGTCATGTTGATTCTAACTCATAATGACCCCATGTGACAGAATATAGCTGCCCATAAAGAGGGTTTTCTTGGCTGTAATCTTTACAGAAGCAAATTGCCAGGTCTTCCTCCCACAGGTTCACTAGATGAGTTCAAACCACCAACTTTTTGGTTAGTAGCTGAGCACTTAACCATTGCACTGCTAGGACTCAACTGAACAGCTCATGGGAATAATTTTTTGTTGTTCAAAGGTTTAGAGTCATAGTTTCATGCATCTATCCAGTCAATTTGCTTCAGGTTGTCTTTAGAGTTTCTGTTCTACCTCCTAGTTTGGTGAGTAGTGCCTGGGGCCTTAAATGCTAGTGAGCAGGCTGCCCAAGATACAACAATTGATCTCTATTCACCTGATGCAGCAGACAAAGGAGGAGATCCAGGGATTAGAGAAGGGAATGGACTGCAGGTCTAATTTTCTCTATGAACTACTACCTCCTCTGTCTTGAGACCAGAAGAAACAGATGGTGTCCAGCTAAATGTTTTAATCAAGGACCCAATAAATTGATCTTGTTCAAAAGGAGGAAAATGTGAAACAGAACTCCCTTAAATTCTTATGGAAACCAGACTTACTGGACTCATTGAGACTGGGGGAACCCCCAAATCTATTGCCTGGAAATAATCTTTAAACCTTGAATTGAAACTATCCCATAAAGTCATCTTTAAACTAAACAACAATTTAGCTCAACTAATAAAGAATGTTTGCCTTGAACATTGCATTCTTTTATAGAATTATCTGTATGAGATCAAATTGACAATAGTAACTGTAAAGCACAGATGAGAAAATTAAAGGGCATAAAGTCTAAGTTAATGAAGATGAAACAATATAAGTAGAGATAGAATGATGACACAATGTGAAGTATATAATGAATATAATTGAATTTTACATGTAGAAATTGTTGAATGGGTGTTTGTTTCATTGTGTGTATTTTCACTAAAAAGAAAATTATTTAAAATTTTTAAAAAGTATATTCTGTACTTCCTTTTCCCACCCATATTATATCTTCCTAGCCAACTAGAGGATTCTATGGGTGGTGAATGGTTAACAGGCTCTACTGGTCATCAGAGGGTTAGAGGTTCAAGTCCACCCAAAGGCTCCTCAGAAGAAAAGCCTGGTAATCCACTTCTGAAAAATCAACCATTAAAAACACTATGTAGCACAATTCTACTGTGACACACATGGGGTACCATGTGTCGAAATCAACTCGGAGGCAATTGGGTTTATTTATTTATTTATTTGTGTGTGTGTGTGTGTGTGTGTGTATGTATGTATGTATGTATGTCTAGATACTCAGCTGTTACTCATAATATTAACTACTCAGAATTAAGCAATAGAGGTTAGTAAAGGTAAGTAAATATTTAAATAAATGTGAAATTCTGAAACAGACTAGTATCAACAGTATCTGGACAATCGTAGCAGGAACCAAAGCAAAATGAAGGCTTTGGCCTCAAGGATGAGAAAAGCTTCATCTTCCCATTGTATTTGCAGATACAATCCAGATACTGACCAAGAGCAGGCAAGTAAAGACTGGCTTAAGACAGAAGTATTAAATGCCAACGCTATGGTCAACATTCACCATTTGATTCAGATGTAAATTTTAGATGTTGTCATTACTAGCTATGGTTAGAACTTTAGCTCCCAGAGAAAGCCTGCTTGCTATTTGTTCTCCTATAACCTATGGTTCTATGACCTCAATAAGTTTGTGTTTTGAACGGATGTAAATAGACTCTCCTTCATAGGCTATCTATCACAAGGACTCTTTTGGTAACTAAGGCAAGTGCCATGATGATGACAGTATTGTTGCTATTGTTGAGTTGCCCCCACCCCATACATGCAAAACCCATGCACAAACAAAACGCTGCCCAGTCCTCCACAATTCCCACGGTCAGCTATAGATTGGACCATTGTAATCCATAGGGTTTTCATTGGCTCATTTTCTAAAGTAAATTGCCAGCCTTTCTTCCTAGTCTGTCTTAGCCTGGAAGCTCTGCTGAAACCTGTCTCATATTGTAGCAATATGCAAGCCTCCGCTGACAGACCGGTGGTGGCAGGGCATGAGGTGCATTGGCCAGGAATTGAACCTGGGTCTCCTGCATGGAAGGCAAGCATTCTACCACTGAACTCTCATTGCCTTAGTAAACAACAACAACAAAAAAAAAAAAACGCTACTGTAGAGTGGACCCCTATTCATAGTTCCTTTTCAGATACAATCCAGATACTGAGATACAAGGGGAGTCTGGCTCAAGCCAGAAGTCTCAAAGACTCGTAACGATGCTATAGCACAGACTAGAACTTCCCCATAGGGTTCCCAAGGCTGTAAATCTTTACAGAAGCAGACTGCCCCATCTTTCTCCCATGAAGCAGCTGGTGGGTTGCAAGCGCCAACCTTTCAATTAGCAGCCAAGCACCTAACCACTGGGCTAGTGAGGATAAATAAGACCTATATTAAAAACTAGACCCACCCTAACAAAGTTTAACAACAAACCTTTGTGATACATATTCAATCATATGTCACTTCCTCAATTAACAGAATGAAGGTAGGAGAATAAACAGTGCAGCCTCACACCCACTCTTTCCCTCCCTGATGTTTTCTTCTTAAGAAACTAGCACACGGCTTCATTAGCAACAAGCTCAGAATAAATTAATAGGAGCTGAAATCCGTGAAATTAGATTCACTTTTCTAATTAGCTAGAGAGTTTACAGATACCAGGCGGTCTTTATCATGGGCTCTCTTCTTCGCAGGAAGGGGATGGCCGTTTGTGATCTCAGGAAATTAAACCCTCCCCTCTTACATTCTACAAAGGAATTTCTGATTGAAGTGTAAATGTGAATTTCCTTTGGCCACCTGGAAGATCATTTTGAAGTTGTGAATCTTGAGTAAATTCCTCATTAATACCACCCGTGGTTGAGAAATTGTGTGATACAGCAATTTCCATTTTCAAAGGAATTGTCTTTTTACTATAACATGCTCAGCTTAGTTGGCACCTTCCTCCGTGGAGTTCTAAGTGATTTTGCAACTTTTTGTCTTTAATTCCCACATCCCAAAGAGGGAAAGAAAGTGCTCAGGTGGTGCAGTGGTTAAAGCATTCAGCTGCCAACCAATAGGTCCACAGTTCAAACCCATTAGCCACTCCATGATGGAAAGATGAGGCAGTCTTGGAAACCCCATGGGGCAGTTCTACTCTGTCCTATAGGGTTGCTATGAGTCCGAATCAATTTGATGGCAGTGAGTTGGGTTTTGTTGGGTTGTAAAGAGAGGAAATGGGGACCAAGAGAGAAGGCAACTTCCACTTTCCTGACATAAAGGAAAGGACGCTGAGGTCAAGGAGCCAGGGATCCAAGGAGAGATAGAGGCAAGTTCTAGGATGGCCCATGGCAGACAAGGACCACCCCAACTCTTACTTTGTTCCTTTGTTGTTATATTGTTGTTGTTATTGCTGTTGTGTACCATCGAGTCGGACCGACTCATAGCGACCCCTACTTGGGTTTCTGAGGCAGTGTCATTATGGAAGTAGATTGCCCAATCTTCCTTCTGAGGAGTGACTGATGGGTTTGATCCTCCAGCCTTCGGGTTAGCAGTCAAATGCCTTAGGCACTATGCCACCAGAGCTCCTTATATTGTTAGGTGCTGTCAAATCCTCTCTGACTCATAGTGACCCTATGCACAGCAGAATGAAACACTTTGTTCCTTACTTCCAGCCAATTAAGTATCCCCTTAAACCATCCCTAATCATTCCTCAAATCTTAAGTTGTCCAACAGACCATAGTACTCAAAGCAAGGACTCTGATGGTCTTACCTCCAACGATTCACTAAATGACCTCTTCTAACGTTTCACTAACATGACTTAAACAGGCCAAAAATGATAATAATAATAATAATAACTTTTTATTGTGATTTGGGTGAAAGCTTTCAGAGCAAATCGGGTTTTCATTCAACAACTCGGACACATTTTGTTTTATGTCCTTGATTGCAATCCCCTCGATGTAACAACACTTACCCCACTTCTTCCCTGTGTTTCTCATTTCTATTCCTCCCTCTTTCATAATCCTTCCTGCCTTCTGAACTTTGTCCTCAGGCAAATGCTGCCCTTTTGATCTCAAATGGTTGATGATTCTAAGGAGTGTATACCTCTCTAATGTTATTGTTCACCTTGTAGACCTGTCTGTTGTTTGGCTGAAAACTGAACCATGGGGTTAGTTCAGTTCCAGGTCTAAAAGGTAACTAAGGGCCATAGTCTCAGGGAGCCCACCAATTAAATAGACAAAATATACCCAATGAAGGAAGGAGCTCCCTGTCCACAGCATCTGAATGCCCACTTTCCAGGAATTCCTTCATACATTCATGCATTCAGTTATTTGACCATTTTGTTTTTGAGCACCTGCTATGTGAAGACACTATTCAGGGCACTGGGAATATAGAAGTGGATAAAAAGAACAAAAAGCCTTGCCATCATATAAGTTATTTTAGTGGAGAAGAAAGACAATAAACCAGATAAATAAATATGTTGTTATTAGCTGACATCAAGTCAGCCCCCAACTCTTGACAAATCTATGCACAACAGAACAAAACACTGCTTGGTCCTGTGCCATCCCCATGACCAATTGTGGACCAGACCATTGTGATCCATAAGGTTTCATTGGCTGATTTTTGGAAGTGGATCTCCAGGCCTTTCTTCCTAGTCTCAGTCTGGAAGCTCCACTGAAACTTCTTCAGCATCATAGCAACACACAAGCTTCCACTGACAGTCAGGTGGTGGCTGCATAGGAGGTACATTGGTTGGAAATTGAACCTAAGTTTCCTGCATGGAAGGCAAGAATTCTACCAATGAAACACCAATGCTCCATAAGTTAAATGTAAGTTATATTAAATAGTGATAAATTCTTGGGAGAAAATAAAGCAAGGATATAGGATCTGAAACACCAGCTCTGGTGGCGTAATGCCTAAGGATTTTGACTGCTAACCAGAAGGCTGGTGGTTCAAACCAACCAGCCACTCCTCAGAAGGAAGGTTGGACAATCTACTTCCATAGTGATACTGCCTGGGAAACCCAAGGAGGGGTCTCTATGGATTGGATCCGACATACCCAATGGCAGTGGGATCTAAATGGAGAGTTATTAGAAGGAGTGACCAGGGAACACCACACTGAAGGGTCCAGGGTAGAAGACAACAATGAAGTCTTGGAGGGTGACACAAGCTCAGGTGTATCAAGGACCAGATATCATCTATAGTCTCTTTCTACAGTAAATTAATTCCTTTCTGCCTCTGCTTATAAATTTGTGAAGCAGTCAAAAGCTGTCCTTCAGAGATTGTAGGAGTTACAAAATTAATTAATACTCAAAATGATATTTGATCTCCTGGGTAGAAATGAACCCAATAAAAACAAGGTCTTACACTTCTGAGAGGTGAGGAGTTTGAGAGACGTAGCTAAAGACACCTTCACACTCAACCTTCTCCATCTAGATGCCAAACGACCTCTCACTCAGCCTGGGCAAAACTGAACTCATCATCTGTCCCTCAAGATGCTTTTCCTCTCCTGCATCCTACCTCAGTAAACATACCCCTTGCACCCAGCTATTCAAGCTAAATGCAATTCCTTGAATGCAGCTCCTGTTGATCCAGAAACCCATGAACTAAAAAGACAAGTTACTTGACAATGGTAAGACAAGGATACCAAACTCAAACTCACTGCCATTGATTCAATTCTGACTCATAGAGATCTCATTGGGTTTCCAAAGCTGTAAATCTTTAAAGAAAGAGACTGCCTCATCTTTCTTCCATGGAGCAGCTGTTGGGTTTGCACCACCAATCTTTTGGTTAGCAGCCAAATGTCTTAGTCACTATACCACCAGGTATATATCCCCAATTGACACACCCTCATGCAAAGAAAGTAAACAAGAGGCACATAGTAGTCACTGGTCCATAGACATTTTGAAATCTAGCTAGGTATGTGTCATCAGCTCCTCTGATTCCAGGGACAGGGAATATTCTTTGATTATGACCTATTCTCTGCTTCCTGGGAGTGATTTCCTAATCCATTATTTTCCACTGTTCTCAGCTTCACACTCTGGGTTCACAGCTCCACCCTCTGAAACATCTTTCCTTTTCAATAACTAATGGCTCATATTTACAGTTGGGTAGCTCCCTCTACCTGCTTCCCGGCAGAAAATTTGTAAACTCTTTTAGTCCAAACTAGTGCCTAAGGCACTTAACTGCTAACTAGAAGTCTGGCGGTTCAAACTCACCAGCCACTCCTCGGAAGGAAGGTTGAACAATCTACTTCCGTAGTGATATTACCTCAGAAATCCAAGGAGGGGCGGCTATGAGTAAGATCCGACTCAACGGCAGTGGGTTAGCAGCATTTTTGTCAAGACAATTCTCTTTAAAATTGTGTGGGTTTCCTATTAAATTGATTGGGGGTAACTCCACACTTCAAAAGATACATTCATAATACTTTCCTCTTTCTACTTTAGGGTGGGTGTCAGGGTTGTGTTAGAAGCTCTGTTGTCTAGCTGAGATCTACAATGTGCCACCTAAAATCTTCCTGACATCAAAACATAGTCTTATAAGATACCACCTTGATTCATTCTTTGCCCTGAGACCATTACTTACTTTAGGAATCTTTTGCTGGGGAGACTATCCTGGACTCTAATATTTCCCCTAAATTCTCTTGCAAATTGAACAGTCTCTTTTTTAGTTCCTCTCTGTCTTGCAATACCTTACCATGCACTGTTTAAAGAAATCAATTGGCAATTTCAATATTGTGCCTGGTACTCTCCTGGTAGATCCATAAATTTATTAGTAATGCTTTCTATTCTCCAAAATAACGCAGATTTTGTTGCACTAACATTCCGCCACTATATAACTTTGCTCTTTCTCCAGTCTCCAATAGCAGTTTCCTCACTGCTCTTTCAGCCTCCACTGATGATCTCTTGACCTCTGGTGGCGTAATGCCTAAGGAATTTGACTGCTGACCAGAAGGCTGGTGGTTCAAACTCACTAGCCACTCCTCAGAAGGAAGATTGGGCAATCTACTTCCGCAGAGATACTGCATCGGAATCCCAAGGAGGGGTCACTATGAGTTGAATTGACTCAATGGTAGTGTTCTGGTTACCTAGTACCACTCTGACAAG